TCCTGAATCTTGGTGGTGGTGAGAGGCTAGATATCTGGAGAGGTAGCTCCTTAATCCTGGGTCACCATGCAGTCGAGCGAGCATTTGTGCGCTCACTGGGCACAATATGGGAAAGAATTTTCCCACACAATGGGAAAGAATAACTGATATAAACCAGCAAAACCTGCATGGTCTTTGCTCCTGTTTTGATGTTTCCAACCTCTATTACAAAAACAACATGCAGACGTGCTGAATTGGTCACCTGTCTATCCAGTGCCTACACTCAAACAGTTGTTAACATTTTGCCATGTTGGGTGTGTCGTCTACTTATAAGTTGCAGACAGTGTGCTTTGTCCTTTGAGTGCTTCAGTGTGCATCTCCTAAAAATGACATTGTCCTGTATAATCAAAACCATTATCACGCCTAAGAAAATTAACAGCCTTATTAATATCTGCTATTTAGTCCATGTTCAAATTTCCCTAGTTGTCCCCAAAATTTTATAGTGGTGATGCTTTAAATCCTATATTTTATATCATTTAAGGAAGTTCTGGAGTTGGACAGATTTGGAGTGCAGCTTGATTGCTAGCTGTGAGATCTTGTACATCTCCCTGTCTAAAAGTGGGGATTTATAACAGTACCTGCTTCGTAGCACAGGATCTAGCCTAGGAAAAGCGCTCAACGTTAGTGTAATGGTGATTTTGAGCAGCTGTTGTGCGTCAGAAACAGAAGCACGTCAACCTGAACCTGCCTCCGTTTTTAGGAGAACCACCCTCTGCGGTACCCTGGACTACTTGCCGCCTGAGATGATTGAAGGCCGGATGCATGACGAGAAGGTGGATCTCTGGAGCCTTGGGGTGCTTTGCTATGAATTTCTAGTTGGGAAGCCTCCTTTTGAGGCAAACACATACCAAGAGACCTACAAAAGAATATCACGGGTAAGACATCACTAGAAAGGACCCATCATTCTCTTAGAATTCCTTCCTTATCAGCCTTGACTTTAGGCTACGATCTGAATATTTATCCTGTTCTCTCTTAGCCACGTTTGTGACCCTGTCACTTACTGTACACTTACCCAGGTGGAGTTCACATTCCCTGACTTTGTGCCAGAGGGAGCCAGGGACCTCATTTGCAGACTGCTGAAGCATAATCCCAGCCAGCGGCCCACCCTCCAAGAAGTACTTGGACACCCCTGGATCACGGCAAATTCAAAACCATCGAGCAGTCAGAAAAGAGAATCAGCTAGCAAACCATCTTAAGAATCTTTGGGGGCAGAAATCCTCGAGACAGGGCTGCTGATAATCTGCCTGGAACAGGCTGCTGGCGTATCTCCCTGCTGCCTGCCCGCCGTCGAGATGCTGCAGGAAATACTGTTCATGAGCAGGCAGTGCTCGGCCTCCCAGTTCAGAGCTCCACCTCCGCAGACACGACCCTCTGCAGTGGGAGCAGCTGTGGTTATATAATCAATCTGGAGGCAAGGTTCAAGTGCAGCCACCCCGCAGCCTGTTTTGAGTAAGGTGTCCTTGTGGAAGATGGACTCGCAGCCTGGCTGTGGGGGAGGGCAGCTGCTTGGTCCTGACTCGATCCATTGAAAATCTGTGCAATAACTTTCCAAGTCCCTGTGTGCGTGTAACTTATCGGGTGGCCCAGTCTGGTAAAGCTGTCGGAATGAACATGTGATTCTTTCTTTTAAATGTTAAAATAAAGACTTTTGTATAGACTTGTATTTTTACCTCCATGGCATTCCTTTAGGACCGCTCTCAGTGTCTGTCCAGTACCCCCGCCGAGCCTGCTTGTGGTCCTCAGCCACTTACCTCCTGGTGAGACTGAGCAGGGGCCTCTGGGGGACCACCAGAGCTGCAGGTGGTCAGGACAGAGGGGTGGAGTCCTGCACATCCACACCTGCCCATCCCTGGCCTCTGACTGTGTTCTCAAGAGGATGGCAAAGAGCTTCACACGTGGGGTGAACCAGTTCTTGGCAAACGGATTTAACAAGTGTGGCTTTTGTTTTGATTCTCTGGTGAAGGAGTGTTTGCCTAAACGGCATCCCTCCTCCCCAGCCGTACTTGGATCTGGGCGCTGTCAGTGTTCATCGTGGCTTATAAAGTGGACGCCTGCTGCCCCTTCAGTACAGCTGGCACAGGCTTCCCTTCCCCTTGTCACCTGGTTCCCACGGGACACACTGGAGTTGTGGCATCTGTGTGAACTTGAAACCTGAGTCCACAAGTACACCTGTCTGCAGTACATGGGTAATTCTTTTCACCACCTGTTCACTCTTGGCCTAGAAATGAGGAGGTGCCATGAGAGGAGCTGGTCTCACGTTCTATGTGTTCCTATCACGTAAAATGACGTATTTCTAGCTGCCGACACCTGTGCATCAACCAAAGATGATGAACTTGACCATGAGGAAGGCAAAAGTGGAAGTGTTGAACTTACTGGGAACTAGGAGAGGAAGCATGCTTTCATGGCCGACTTTCAGTGCACGAGGCCTGCAGAGATCAGAAATGTCTACACAGAAGGACGTGGCTATACACTTCCACATCAGAGTTGCCAAAGTAGTTGTGGAAACTTAAGAACTGAGTAAAACTGCTGTGTCCAGTTAGCCCCGTTGGGACAAAGGAGCTTTTGGTTCCCACAGTCTTGAGCTTTTACATCCCAGAGTAGTAGTTCATCCATCCACCCTGGCTGTAGTCAACACAACATGACTAACCCCACCAGTGACACTAGCTAAGCTGTCATTTCCCCAAACAGTCCCACACAAGCACAGAAAAGGGCTCACTGTAGCAGCACAGCATTAATAAACTAGTCACACGCACTGCTGCCTCATAATCAGCAGCAGTGATGGCTTTTTAAGAATAAAAAGTTCTTCATAAACTTTACAAAGATGTTTATTTGTTTCACGGAATTTAAGCTGCTCACTTTGTCAGATAAAAAATTAGAGGTGAACAATGGCTTACGTGTTTAAAATAGATCATCAGTTTTATTCCCCTAGTTCCATAAAAACAATGTAAATACAAGTGATTTGTACATCTTGCTGGTGAATTCACATAATGCTGTAACTGCCTGGTCCTTTGATTGCCTCTCCTCTCTAGTTACTCTGTTCTGTTCTGACAACTGGCCACTGGAGTGGAGTGGAGTTGGGGCTTACAAGAGAACGCTATGGCTATTTGGTATGATAATTTGTTTTATTGCTTGCCCTTTCAGTCCACTCCCATTCAAGCCCTTAAACCTGTAGGAATCCCTATCAGCTTTTTTGCATAGGCATTACTCATGATCTGAATGGTTGGGAGGCCGGTGAGGAAGGTGGTTAGGAGCCCAAAGCCAACTGTTCACACACAGACAGCGACACAGAAGTGCTGGTCCTGTCCTCATGAGGAATTACCTAGCACTGGTGCCATCTCTCTCTGCTGTGGATGTGTCCTGGGAATTAGACCCCAGAAAGGCAGTCTAATTCCAACTTTAAATTGCTAAAACCTTTTGGCAGTGGGCTAACTGCTTTAAAAGGGGTGGGGGGTGGAATAACGGATCCACTTTAAAGATCTTGCAAGTGGAGAATCTGGCTCACAAAGATTCTCATAAAAGTTAACTGAAATAACTGATTGACATGGGTTACTACGGGCTAACGAGGAAAAACTGTCAATAGTCAGATATCAGTAAAACCAGGATGATCAGTTTATAGTTCCTTGAGTTTTCTGATTGTCACAAATGTAGTTAAACCAAAAAACTAAAATAAAAAATAAATCTGGGAGCCAGAAGGATAAATGCAACCCCTGAACCATGGTGGCAGGGCAGTTACACTGGGGTTCCTGGGGTGTGCAGCCAGTGTCCCGTCAGTGATGCTGAAGCCCACACGCTGAAGGAATATATTCCTTCTCCGTTGCTTGCTCCTGACTGTCTCAAGGAGAAAGTCTCAACTGAGATCTGTGTGCTTGCATTTCTGTTCTTAACCAATGTCCCAAATAGAGAACGAGGGGCCTAAAGTCACACGCCCTTTATCTGGTAAACTAGCTCAGTCCCTGCCCGGCCTGTATTATTATTTTGCGGTTGTCTCCCATTTACAGCAAGTGCTAGTAATTTTACTTTTTTAGAGAGTGATACAAAGTCTTTTTTTGCATACATAATTTTAACTCAATTAAAAAATATAAGTAGCAACACAATGTAAACACTGTGACACTAGTTCTGGAATGTCTGAAGTCTGAGACAGAGCTAGTCAGGCCAAGATTGTCTCAGCTTTGCGTATATGTGCAGTATCCGGATTCCTCTGAGGACACAGGCATCCGGGGCCAACTGATGCCGTTACTATTGGATGAAGTTTCCGTATTTTACCGAAACAGAGACAAATGATTCTGACCTACTTTAATGAAGTTTGGGAAAAATCAGCTGAGGCAGGCCCCATCATGTCCAGATTTGAAGGTGGCTTGGGATCAGTGAAACGTACGAGAAATACTTGTTTTTCTTTCCCCCCAAACAAGTGTAGTGAATGTCAAAGTGTTGATGCTAATTAAGATCCTGATTCCATATTGTGAAGTCTTAAACTCTGCTTCATTAATTGTAGCACTGGCAGCTGTTTTGCACATTACTGCATATTAAAACGAAGGCAGCCTGACAGCAAATATTGGAGGAAGGGGAACTTTAAAAACCAGCTTAATGAATCGCTGCCCTTTAAGAACCTGAGCAAAGATTAACCCGAGGCTTCTGCACGCAGACCCTCACCAATGATCCTCCAGAAGGAACATTTCCTGGCTGACAGTTTTGTTTCAGATGATAACTCAGTGGTGATGCTTTGCTGACATTTTAGATGATGCAGACAAGCCCTACGATGAATAGCATTACCAAAACTTATAAAGCAAAAAAATTCCAGTGATTTGAAACCCTGAATTTTTGCTGGCAAAAGTAAATGCTGTTCACAACAAGACAGCAGCTAGCCCCTGCCTCACCCCCACCATAAACCCTACATTATAAAACCAGTCCAAAATGTATCATTTCAAGGAAATAGGTTTTCAGGCCCACAGTTGAAGAGTTCATCAAGGCTTTGCAGCTGGAGGTTTAAAAATTCCCACTTTCCGAAAATATCTGACAATCAGGGGCACGGAAACTAAGGTAATGCTTATCCTCACGGGTGCAAACAGCTTGTGGATGGCATAGGCCACCACGAAAGTACTTGTGCCTGCTGCCATTTTCGACTGTACCAGTGACTCTTTAAACCCGAGTTTAAGCAGGATGGCTGACATGTCCACACCACTGGAGGGGAGAGAGGCAAACAGACAAACACAAAAGGGATAGAGTTAACCAATCAATTTGGCTATGACATTTACAGTATTTTAAAAAATGTGATGAAAGTAGCTAGATGAATATAAAGTCTTAGGACAAAAGTTCTTATTCCTTGGATGACAGCGAAAAACAAATATCTATTACTGTCAAAATCTTACCTTGAAACAACCATGTAAAACATGCCCAAAGAGACTAATGAGATTCCAATGTGCAGTGACACGCCAACGGCACCATATTCTTGAAAGATCTTTTTCAGCTGCTGCGACTTGCTTTGCTTTTTCTCCTCTGTACCGCTTATGTTGCTGCCTGTTGTCACAGTGATTTTGCTGGTGTCCTGCGCACAAGCCAAAGAAAGGGAGACGCTTTGGGGCAGGAGCAAGGATGTTAGTGGTCATCAACAGCTTCAGACTCAGGCAGCGTTCTGCTCTTTCCTGTCCAGTGAGAGATGAGTTACTATCTTTCTTTGTCAGCTGAGGCTAATGCCCACTAAGCCACTGAGTGCAGTGAAGGGCTGCGTACCAGGTACGATGGGCGGTACGATGGGCAGAACGATGGCCCCTAAGATGTCTAGGTCCTAGTCCCCAGAACCTGTGAATAGGTTACCTTACGTGGCAGAAGGATTTTGCAGGTGGGATTAAGTTAAGGATCTGCGATGGGCAAATCATCCGGGATTTTCTGAGTGGGACCAGTGGGACCTTAATCATAAGGGTCCTGTGAGTGGACACAGGGGGGCAGGAGGGTCAGAGAAGCAGATGAGAGGACAGAAGCAGAGTCAGATTTGCAGAGATTTGTGCTGCTGGCTCTGAAGACAGAGGAAAAGGCCACGAGCCAAGGAATGCAGCACCTCCAGAAGCTGGAAAAGGCAGGAAATGGATTCTCCCGTAGAGCCACTGGAAGGAACCAGCCCTGCCCACACACTGGCTTTAGCCCTGTGAGACCCCATTTGGGCTTCTGACCTCCAGGGCTGTAAAAGAATAAATGTGTGTCGTTTCATGCCACCAGGTTTGTGGTGATGTGACAACCATGCTAGACTCTACAAGACAGTGGGTACGAGATAAAACGGAGCAGAAGCCGTGATGTACTTACTTCTGGAATCAAGATTTACCCCTGACATCTGAACGGAGAAAGGGAGGGCTAGTTCTCGGGCCATAAATGCAGCGGCCGAGTTAGTACAGAAAGATTGCGTGGGGTGTTTGTTAACAATTACTGAGCATCTACAGGGCCTGGAATGTTTGGGAGAAATAAAAACAACAACCTTGGATTAAAAAGACAAAACTCCTCAATATGGAGAGTGCCTTTTTCATCAAAGGATTTCTTCAGCTCTAAGACAGACCTCAGACCTCTTCTCACAGGCAGCATCTGGGTCAGTCAGCTCCGGCTACTGACTTTGCAGCGGGACGGCTGCTTTCTTGTATTTTTAGAACATGCTGCAGTGGAGCCATGCTTCAAAGGCTGCGGTGGGGGGTGGGGGGGGTGGGGAAACATGACATGCAGCGTGGCATCCCCAGGGACAAAAGTGAAATGACACAGGTGCCCAGGGCAGCAGCCTCCAACCGCAACGAGGCACAGGTCCTCCTCCTGGCCCTGCCCTGCTTTGGAGCCCCTGATGGCGGGCAGGTGGGAACTTTGACCAAGCACGTCTGGGGCCTCCCCGCAGACGCTGCCTCTCTCAAGAGCTCCCAGGGTACCCGGATGCTGCTGATCCATCTGTCTGTGCCCAGGCGCCCAGCCTCTGATTTCATAGATGTGGGGTGAGGCCTGGGCACTGCGATTAGATATCAGTTCCCCTGGTGCTTCTAAGTGATCAGCCAGCGTTGCCAGGTAAGCGCCTGCTCAGCACTCTCGCCTCCCCTTGCCCTGCTCCTGCCCACCCTCAGCAGACTCTCCACGTGGCCGTTGCTTCTCAGATGTACCTGCCTTTCGACAGACTGGAGTGAGCCACTTCCTAAGCTGGAAACAAACGTCACCTCCTCCAAGAGGCCCTCCTTGACCACCTCAGCTGCCTGCCCTCAGTGGCAGCCATGCTATCACATCTCTACTTCCCTCTCTGAGATTTCCATCTCCAGGAGTTGTCCTGCTTATAATGTAACAAATATAACAAATACATGTATGTAAGCATTCCGTTCTTTGCTTGTTTGCTGTTGGCCAGAGGCCTGGAATGTGTGGTTCCAGGTAACAGGGACCTGGTCATCTTGCCCGGCTCCTAGCGCTGGGAGGGTGAAGGGACCATCTCTGCCCGGTGTATTAGGGGTCGAGCTGGAATCCATGCACAGGTACTAGGATGGGATCAAGAGTTTTTACTTTTTAATTTTTTTGGCCACACCACACAGCTGTGCCTTGGGATCTTAGTTCCCCGTCCAGGGATTAAACCCATGCCCTTGGCACTGAAAGCACGGAGTCCTAACCACTGGACTGCCAGGGAAGTCCCTGATAAAGAGTTTTAAGTGCAGCAGGTCCCCTTCCTCCTCAGATACCTCCGGAGGCTTGCCCACCCAAGCCTCGTCCCCGCATCGCACGCCAGGCCCGCATTGCGTCCTCCATCCCTTGTGCTCATCCATGCTGTCCCCTAAGCCAGCAGCCCTGGTGGCCCACCCCTGCCCTTCCATCCTCAGGATGTGACGGTGTCTGCCCATCAGAATCCACTGCCCCGCCCTCCACTGGGCCCACTGCAGTCGGCCTCCTAGGCTGTTTTCTTTCTTTGATGTCACTCGGACCAGACCTCCCGAGCTACTCTTGCCCGGGCTGTAGGCAGGAACATGTGAGACCAGGGGCCACCCAGGGGCTCGGGGCCTGACCTCGCAGGTCTCCCATGAGGGGCTGACCCTACAGAGCAGCAGACAGGGCTACTGACCGGAGGGGTGCTGAGCGGTGCCAGCCTAGGTGGGTTTAGGGAACGTTGCTTCAGGACCACCTGGCCCAGGCCCCTCATCTCTCCCCTGGGTTACTGTGATGGCCTCCCTCCCAGCTGGTCCCCCAATCCCACCCTTGACCACTCAACACAGTGGCCGGAGGGAGCCTGTAAAAACCCGAGGTGGGATTACAGCACCATCCCCGTCAGAGGCCTCCTGGAAGCACCAGCCCCTCAGCCCTCCAGGCCCGCCGCCCCCCCACCCCCATTCTCCTTCCTGCTACCCATTTGGGCCATGTGGCCTTCTTGCTGCTTTAAGCAGGCCAGGCCAGGCCAGGACCGTTCCTGGCCTTGGCATCTGCTGCTCCCTCTGTCTGAATGCTTTTCCCCAGAAGTCCTCATAGCCCCGCCTCCAGGTCTTTATTCCGACATCACCTTAGGGAGGCCTTCCTGGAGCACCCTCTTTAAAACCGAGACCCTCACACAGCTGCTCCTGTGCAGTTCCCTCCATCAGGCCGTCACCACCTATCGCCCCACGTGCGTTTCTTCCTCCTCCCCAGGGAGGCCCATCCACTTTGGTAACAGTTTTGCTGGTATATAGATTACAGGCCATAAAGTCCATCTTAAGGTTTAAAACGTACAGTCAAATAGTTTATGTGTGTTTGCAGTTGTGCAACCATCACAAGGATCTAATTTTGGAACATTTTTGTCACCCAATTAGCAGTCACTCCCCATTCCTCTCTCCCCTATCCTGATGGGGAAAGGCAAACACGAAACTCCTTTCTGTCTATGGATTTGCCCTTTCTGGACGTTTCATGTAAACGGGGCCATACAGCATGGGGCCTTTTGTGACCGGCTTCTGCTACAGACTGAATGTTGGTGGAAACCCTCCCCCGCCCCAAATTCGTATGTTGAAACCAAATCCCCACCAGGATGGTATTTGGAGGTGGGAGCTGACTAGGTCCTGAGGGTGGAGCCCTCAGGAATGGGATCAGGGCCCTTGTAAAAGAGACCCCAGAGCGCTCCCTTGAACCTTCTACCATGTGAGGACATGGCAAGAAGACAGAAGACAGCTGGCTATGAACTCGGAAGCAGGCCCACACCAGACACTGAATCTGCCCGTGTCTTGACCTTGGACTTCTTGATTCCAGGACTGTGAGAAATGAATGTCTGCCATTTAAACTGCCCAGTCTATGGTGTTATAGCAGCCCGAACAGACTACGGCAGCTTTTTTCACTTATCATCATGTTTTCAAGGTTCATCCACGTTGTAGCAGGTATCAAACTTCATTCCTTTTTATGAAGCAGAATTTGATTCAACTGAAATACAAAGCACAGATTCTAAAATTTACTCTTCAGGGCAAGCTGGGAGCCACAGTACATTTTGCCCTACAAAGAATGTCTGCAGTGTCTGGAGCCCTGTTGTGTCTGGTAACCCCTGGGGCAGCCTCTCAGCTTGGTTTCATGCTGGACAGGAGGGCTTGGCTCTGGACCAGCCGCCAGAATGGAAGATAAACTGTGACTGCTGCATGTAAGTAGAAGATAAGAAGGCACAAAAGCAGACTCTCCTGCTGTCCCCAAAAGAACTAAGTAAGGCTCAGTGAAGGGCCACATTCCACGCAAGGCAAGGAGGGGGTGGAATTCAGTCTTGGATTAAAACTTGCCCAGAATTGGGAATTCCCTGGTGGTCTAGTAGTTAGGACCCTGCGTTTTCACTGCCGAGGGCACGAGTTCAATCCCTGGTCAGTGAACTAAGATCTCACAAGCCGTGCAGCGTGGCCAAAAAAAAAAAAAAAAAAAAAGTCTTGGATTAAAACTTGCCCAGAATTGGGAATTCCCTGGTGGTCTAGTAGTTAGGACCCTGCGTTTTCACTGCCGAGGGCACGAGTTCAATCCCTGGTCAGTGAACTAAGATCTCACAAGCCGTGCAGCGCAAAAAAAAAAAAAAAAAAAAAAACCTTTCCCAGAATCATCCGTGATTTTTAATTATACACAGCAGCTACTCATTTGCCCCTGCTCCCAAAACAGTTGGTACAAAACTCAGATTTATTAACTGAAAGAGTCTTTTCATTACCTCCCAACTGAAAGAGCATCTCTTTTGTTCCCAAACTGCAGTTGGGACTGAAAAAAAAAAACCAAACAAACAAAACCCCAAAACACCTGGAAGCTTTAAATTAAAGCTTCAATTAAAATTAAGTCTGTTTCATTAAAGGCTGCTCAGTCCCTGGGAATTAAGTGTTAAGGCCCTAAGGCGGGAGACGAACTGTATTTCCTCTCTGCCTTGACTTCTGTGGGCTTTTTTCAGACTTAAGAAAACAAACACTTAAAAAAAGGGGAGTGGCTACTAAAATCCAGTATCCATTTATGGGGTCCCAGAGACTGGTTCTGATAGGCAGGAAAGCATAACGTTTTTTTTTTTTTAATTTATTTATTTTTTATTTTTGTCTGTGTTGGGTCTTCATTGCTGCACGCGGGCTTTCTCGAGTT